ATATTCAATGTGGTTGGTTTTTATTATTTATAAGAATTTTAATATACAAACTCTTTTCACCTGTCTAATAGTTAATAACTTATCAAAAGTTAATAGTAGTATCTTTAAAGTTCACTAGTATGATTGACAGGTTGTACAATAATAGTTTATACCCATAAGCGTAGGGAGGGAGGCAGGCAGCTGTCTCTACTGTAAGAGTTTTCCTCGCAAGATTTTCCATCAAATTATTGACTTTAACCTTAATATAATTAAAATATGAAGTAAATTGTTGTTCTCTTAATTCTTGAAAGTACACAATGAAAAATAATTTTAAAGGTAATTGTATTACCTATAGGCAATAGCTAAGAAAAAAAATTCAAGAACGGCCTCAATTCCTGGAACCCCAAGCTATTTAAGTAATGCAACCCCAGTTAGGAAGACCTTTGCAGGCTCATGTTAAAATACTATTCCAATATCACAATGCGTTCTGTTTGGTCTTACGTAATTTTTTAAAAATTTGTTACACAGGTCATAAATAAGAACCAAAAATTACATGGGGAAATAGTTGAATATATTAAAGTATTTGATGTATCGTGGTAGAATATTAATCACGCGAATTAAACAAAACATTAAAAGTGCAATAAACTCCCACACATATCCAAATCAAACAAGATCTAATTTTTCTAGCTGTGTGGAAAATCATAGATGCACAAAGACACAATTTGGTTGCCAGCCACCTTGTGCTTTCTTTATAGAATAAGTATAGTGATTTTTTGTGGCTGGTATTTTAAAATAAATCCAACATCATTGTAGTTAACATAAAATGAACTAAAAATATTGGATTTGACTTTAAACTCTAAATTTGTTATGAACTAATAAAATTTGTGTTTTATAACATAACTGATATAGATATTGAAACACTACTAAAATTTGACTTATACACTTTGAACAGTTAAACTCACATAGAGTATAAAACTTTTATTAAATAATAAATAAACTTTAAAATACATATATATATGTGTGTTAATTAAACATATAAGTTTTTAATATTACACACAATAACAGACAATAAAATTTTTAATATGTTAAAACTGTTGAGTCGACTTTTGTTCGGTAAAATTTTAATGCCGAATATAATGAATTTTATTGAGCTTCTAACGCAATCTTCTTGGTAGGTAATTTTTCTTTCTCTTTAGTTTCTAAATCATGACAATAATTAAGTCCATAACAATTGTATTAAATAAAATATTTTAACTTTATAATTACCTGGAATAGTTATTGGTAATTCATCTGATGGTACAGTTGGTAACATATCCATAGCTTTTTCGTGTTCTACAGTAATTAATTCATTTAATTCAGCTTCAACTGCTTCTTCATCCTCAGATGATAAGACTCCACTGAGTAAATCAGTTATTTCCTGTTTAAAAAATTGTTCTATTAGAAGAATTTTTAAAATATATTATTTAGATATAATTGTTTACTTTTTGTTTATCAATTCCTTCTTTAGTTTCATCCAAAAGTTGCTCAATATGTTCAATATTAAATAATTCATTTGCTTTTTTAAGGGCTATATTTCCAACCTTAAGACCTTCAATAACCTATACATAATTATTAGAATTTAATAAATTGTAAAAATCACAAAATTATATTCTAAGTAAATAAATACTTTGGCTTCTATTTGGGTGTATTCTAAATCTTGTATTAATTTTTCAATAGTATTCAAAGACGCTTCAGTACGCTCTAATTGCTCAGTTTGGTATTTTTTTTTTCTCAACAAAAGTTTTGCTTTACTGTAATGATGAACATCATAATTATTAAATAATTGGTGCTAAAATTGATAATTATACTAATAGCTACACCTATCCCCTCCTCCATGAGCAGAAAAATTTACTTTTTTTTGACTCAATTATTGCAATACTCTTTTAGATTTACAAATTATGAATCAAAAACATTATATTGATACTAATTAAAAATAACTGTTCAAAATGTTACGTTGATATTCAGTCACATAATCAATGAATTTAACTAAATAAATGTTTCTTTAATACATGCATCTTAATTCTCATTGAATCTTTTTATTTAAAGTTGTTTCAATGTTATACTTGGATAAGATGAAATTTAATAACGAATAATTTCTGACATACTCTTTTTTGTTTTCGGACAGTAGTCTTTTAGCGAGTTCTCTTTCGCTTTCTAGTAATTTTTCAACTCTCTGTTGGTATCGTTTTAAGGTATCTCTTTGCTGTTTCATTTGCTAAAAAATTTAAATAATATTCTTAAGAACACTGTACAAAAATGTCAAGTACTTAATACATGGTATACACAAAACACAGACTCATTACATATTGATTATTATTACCAGAACTGCTCGATCGTGGTCGGTAATACGAGAGACTTTGGGTTTTCCAAATAACATTCCCATATTGAAAAATGATTTTTTTATCAGCCTATGATGATCCAACAACGATTAACGTAACATAGAACAACCAATTTCAATCTCAGAAAATTATTAAGTTATAATGACCACATTAATAAGTAATTATTATCTTATAAATTTATGACTAATCAAATATCAACTTCCTATGTATCGAAATGGAATTCTTTTGTGAGGTAAAAAAATAAAATTAAACAATTTAAACACGATGAACATGAAAATTGAAAATATCAATGTTAAATGTTAATGATTAGTAGTGTGTAGCCTTAGTAAAGATAATAAATAATAATAAATTATTAATACATAATATTATCTTTAAATCTTTAATTGTAGTCTATAAATCGACTCAGGTTAATGCAGAATTTTATTCAGATAAGTATTAAGTTTAGTACATAATGTCAACAATAACAGATCAATTATGCATAGATAATATTTATATTTATATATCATCCTTGACTTTAATCATTGTGGCCACACAGCCTTACCATTTGGCATTTACTATATAGTGTACCCTGAAGCAGGCTGCAGCTATTCAGATCATCATCATCATATTATTATTATTATTTTCCATGATCATAATAATATTATTATACAATGAAGCTAGGTCACAACTAACCGGCATCTGCAACTTGAAGTCTGCGCCCCGCACGTGGCCGCACTGTTATCGTGGGCGTATCTAAGCAGCAGTGTGAATGTGTATTATTTTTCATATTATTATTATCGTCATAAAATCATAGTAACATTGTCTCTATGCGAATAATTAACAAATATTGTAATCTGTGAGGTGTTTTGATTGCTGTTTCCAATTTTCCACAGAAGAAAGAGGAACGTTCTGCTAAACGGTATGTAAGGCTGCTGGCCATGTCACTTTTTCTCTCTCAGACACTATCTCTATCTCTTTCTCACTGAGTAACCGAACGAATCGCATTAACGTGCCAGTGCGGTAACTGTAGGACACTGCCAATCACTGAACAGTAAACACTTAAACAGTGATGTTTTGGCGTTCTGCCGTTGTGTTGTACGTGTTGTTTAGTCCATAGCGTACCACCGTTCACCGGTTGTTGTGTGGCGCGCAGGACGCACTTTTATTTTTCCTGTTGTCTTTTGATTACGTTATTACTGTTCTTGTTTTAGTATTGACTTTTGTTTCTCAGACTAAATCGTTTGCTATCATCGTATTGATTAGTTTAACGTACAAGTAGGCTGTGTACAGTTTTCGTTTTTGCGCTCATCCGACGGTCGCTGTCGCGATAATATGTAAGTACTTAACATACAAGCTCGTATGATTCTTTATTGTTGTAACTTCGTCCTATTATTTCCACCCGTATACTGTGTGTTTATGTAGTGTGAAATGTGTGTTAGTCTGTGTGATGCGTCTATTGTAGGTTTACAGGATGTATAAAAGCAATCAAAAGTCGTCCGTGAGCCTTATCAAAACTGAGTCGCGTGGTATTGGTACTTACAAGATTTACGTCGTTCGTATACTAATTATGAACATTTTGTTCATAGTAATATACCAATAGTGGTATTTGTTACTCATTATCATGATTCGTGATGTAACGTCTATTTTACTTCATTCGAATGACATTTTAACTAGGATATTATCGTTTCATTACTATTCTTAAATTAAAACCACGTTATTATTACTAATGAAACACTGGTTATGGACGAAGTATAACGGTACATTTATGTCAAGTTTATTATGCTTATAATTTGTGAAGTGAGAAATATAGAATGTAAACACTAAACCCTATATTAACTTCTAAAACTGTATTTAAAAGATATTTAAAATTGCTTGTGTACTTTTAATGAAATTAAAAACTTATTTATTTGGGTAATATTGATGATTATTGAACCCTTATAATTTTTTTTTAATTTCAAAATTAGTAGTTAATGTTATGATTTATAGTTAAATGTAAGTATACCTACTTTATATATTTTATACTGTTTGTTTACTTTAGTAAAATTAGATATTTTAATTTATGTTATATTTTGATTGCATGATTTTATGTTATCTGAAATGACATTGTATGTATTGATTAGCATAATATTTAAAAAACTAATATTACTTATTTGAATACCTATTTTCTATTAGGGATGTTTTAAAATAAACTTAATTACCAAATATAAATAACTGTTTTTTAAAATTTTACTTCATTAATTATTTTATACTGCCAAAATTAATTTGTTGATACTTTTCCGTTATCCCTACTACCTCACCAATGCCGCCACTACCGGACTACAGTTCGCTCAATTACCTGTTGCCGACAGTTGTATTATTTTAAAATAATCCATCGTTGTATTTATTAATTTTAAAATAATTATGAATCTGTGGAATTTACCATTAATTTTGATGACTTTGTTTTATATTATAATAACTTTTAGAATTTTGCAACTGTAACTGTGATAATTTATTTATATTTATTTAATATCGTAATTAGACGTTTTTGTGATGATTTTGATGTTTTATACTATAACTCTCCACTACTGTGATAATTTATGTGATTACTGATAATAAATGTTATATTAATATACATTAAAATATAAATGGCAATTCATGACGTGTATTATGTATTAAAATATGGAATATCTGGATGGTACTGTAGTAGTCGAAATAACAGAATTGAGTAGTCGCGGAATTGGTGAGTTAGTCGAGATAACAGAATTGAGAGTCACGGTAGTAGGGATAACAGAAAAGTACCAATTTGTTTTATTATTGTAATAGATAAATTATATGTGGTGCCATTGATTAGAATTAATATATTTATAATCAATGGGTAAGTAGTATAAAAATCTGGCTATTTAAGAAAGTTTAGAAATACATATAATATCTAATTTATAATATTAATATCAATAATATCTAATAGACCATTATGATGACTATTAAGCGGTCTTATTATATATACATACATATAAGAAAAAAATTAAGATCTTGTAATAATGTTATAAAACAAGATATAATATTTATGTATAATATCTTATAAATCCATCACGTTTCATAACCATTAACTCATAATTAAATTATGCAATCTAAAACATTATACAGTTGTAAATTAACAAATGCATTACATTCTGGAACAAATGTTTAAAATTTTAATTGTGATGTCAATCAATACATTTTATTTAGACTGTAATGAATCTATAATGTTATTAAAGTTAAAATAAATAAATTAAGTAGGTATTTAAAATTATATCTTTGTTATAAAAATTATTAGTATGGTAAAGAATTTAAATTTTGCTACTTAGGACAAATCTTTAGAAAATAAAATACTGATATAAAATAAATGCATACCTAATATTAATTCAGATAGTTAGGTCATTAAAAAAAAATTACTTTTCTAAGATATATAAATATTTAAGAATTGAATAATATATTAATGTGTGTTTTTTTTCTAAAATTAACAAAATATGCAATTTTAATTTTGTTTTGATTATTGTCAATGTGTGGAACGAATTTCTCCCTTGTTTGCTATTTAGTTAGTTATAAATTTAAAGCATATAGATTGATATAAATAATTTTATAAACATATATGTATCCAATTATTTTCAAGCCATAGTTATGATTATGTTTTGCTATAGTATATAACTAGTATACTTTATTGTTTTGGAGTTTAATTAATTTATAACATTATTACCTAAGCTATTTTTTTTAAAGTATTAAAAAAAAACAAATGTCCTTGTTAGGATAACAAATGTAACAAATCAAGAACATTTTGAATAATTCATTTTTTAATGTTTACAATTCTTGATTATATTATTAAAACCTGAATGGCAGCGTTTCTTAAATTTTTTTTTTCTGTAGAACCCTTTTTGATATTCACTTTTATTATAAAATGGTGCAGAAATCTACTAATTAATTAAAAAATAATAATAAATAAATAATCAACAGGTAATGTCATCACTACGGTTTCTTCATATTTTTTTCATACTCTTCATTCTATAGCAAATATTCTTATTGTACCTTAGGGCATAGATTGTATATAACACAATAATAATTAAAAAAAACTTATCGTAGAACCACTTCATATATTTTTTTTTAGCTTCTTTTAGGATTATTTGCATTAAAAATTATAATTATTTCATAAAATAAAAATGTGTTAAAGATATTTAATTAAAAAAATATGTTAAAATAAAAATAATTATACTGAGATCACTTAAATTAAACTAAATTTTAATTTTAATGATATAAGTTTTAATTGCTTTTTATTATTACAAATATTCTTAATATTGGGCTTTATTGATGAAATTGTACAAACCTTTTTTCCCCCACTAGCCGCTTCTAATCTTTAAATAAATATTTTAAAGTAATTTTCTTGAAATTTTGAAGAAATTACTTAAGCTTTGCTGAACCCTGAAGTAATCTTTGTGGATCATAGTTTAAGGAACACCGCTCTATAGTCTATAAGCATAGGTAAACTTTGGTTTATTGATAACATTGAACGTTTAATTGAATTACCTCACCAGTTACCGTGGTAATTTTATACAGAATACTTGTATGAGAATTATAAACTAACCAATGTATAACACTATACTTTATTACATATTATTTACAAGAATAACCTCGAGCGACTTTAGATTTTTGTCAGGTACGGTCACACATTATCCCACTAAATATTCATTTTTGTCATCATTGTCATCAGCTTTTGTTTCTAATAATCAATCATGTCTAAAAATTGGCTTATTATGTTGGCCAAGTTCAAGCTTGACAGTTGTCGAAATAAAATGATGCTCTTGATATCACTTTAGTTAGAAACATGGCCTCACCTTTTGTCACGACTATAACACCGAAATCTAACCTCCATTTGAGGTTACTGTTTAATAAGATACAGTGACATGTATAAACATTAAAAAAAATTTTCCTTATTACTCTGTTAAAGTACAATTTTCCTTAAGTGTTATGACACTGGTTTTATACGCTGCGGAGAAACCATACCTTTAAAAATTGAATATTTGAAATATTGTTCTTTAAATTTGGAGATTATAGTTATGAAATTCAATTTTGTTATAAGTGCCTAATCACACAATATGTTTAAATAAAACAAATTTTCTAAATTGAATATATTATGTATAATGCTATTTACTAATGCACTGTTTATTTTTATAATCTTAATCAATAAAAATAAATTAAATGCTTATTATTTATCTATTTTTGTTTTTATTTTTATTTTAGGACCTAATCAAGAACTATTTATTGAATATTCGGTTATAAATTGCGTATCAAAAACCATCATGCTCAGAGATCGTGAATAAAATAGGTATCTAGTATCTATATAACTATTACATTTTTAAAGTAAAACTGTAATAGACTGATTTTTTATGTCAGTAATTTGTATTAGATATGATAAATCAAAAATATTGATTTATATTAATTAGTAATTTAAACTATTAAAATAGTTATTTTTATTTTTAAATAGAGTATTCCTAAAATCCCTTTAAAATGTATGGAATGACATCGGCAATAAGTGATGCTCTTCCGACAGACATTGATATACAGTTAACAAAATCATTAGATGATGCTCTTTCAAAAGAAAAAGTTATTACTACTGATGAAGATTTATCTCAAAGGCTTGAAGTATTATCAATGCTTAATAATTTGGCTAAAGAATGGATACGTGAAGTAAGTATGGAAAGAAATTTACCTGAAATAACTGCTGAAAATGTTGGAGGTTTAGTATGTACGTTTGGATCATATCGTCTTGGCGTTTATCATAAAGGTGCTGATATTGATGCAATTGTCATTGTCCCTAGACATATAACTAGAAATGATTACTTTGCAACATTCTATAATAAGTTAAAAGAAAATCCTAATATAAACAATGTTCGAGCTGTTGAAGAAGCTTTTGTTCCAGTGATTAAAATGATAATACAAGGCATTGAAATTGATATGTTGTTTGCACGCCTTGCTTTAAAAGAAGTACACGAAGATACTGATTTGCAACAAGATGATCTATTGAGAAATTTGAATCCTAAATGTGTACGAAGTTTAAATGGATGTCGTGTAACAGATTCTATTTTACGATTAGTTCCAAATCGAGAATCCTTCAAGAAAACATTAATTGCAATAAAATTATGGGCTAAACGTCATAGAGTTTATTCAAATGCATTAGGATACCTGGGAGGAGTTTCTTGGGCAATGTTAGTAGCAAGAGTATGCCAGTTATATCCAAATGCAGCACCAGCAACTTTAATACACAAATTTTTTTTAATATTTTCTAAGTGGCAATGGCCTCAACCTGTATTATTGAAACCATCATATTTTATGGATCTTGGATATCCAGTTTGGGACCCAAGAGTAAACATGGCGGATCGTAATCATGTTATGCCTATTATAACTCCAGTTTATCCTCAACAAAATTCAACTTTTAATGTTACTCATTCCACACTAGCTATTATACAAGATGAATTTAAAACAAGTTTAGACATTATGGGAGAAATTTTAACTGGAGAGTCTAGTTGGTCAAAAATTTTTCAACCATCTAAATTTTTCACAAAATATAGATATTTTTTGGCCATAACTGTATTTGCTAACTGCGATGAAGAATTACTTGAATGGAGAGGGTTAGTTGAATCAAGGCTTCGGTTTTTACCTACATCTTTAGAAGAAATTGAATGTGTCCAAAGATCACATTTAAATCCTGACCAGTTTGTCTTACCTTATGAAAAATCACAAGGAAGGCCATCATCAGTTTGGTTTGTTGGTCTAGAAATATCAAAGTCAAATGGTACAGTAGTTCAATTAGATTTTAGTACTCATATCCGAGATTTTTGCTTATTAGTGAAAAGTAGAGCTCATACCATTTTTAAAGCTGGAATGGATATACAAGTTAACCATTTGAAAAGAAAAGATTTAAAGGATTATGTACCTGATGAGTTGAAAAAAGAAAAAGCTATTCCAAATACTGTTGGTAGTAAAATTATTGCTCGATTATCAACTGAGGGTAGACATTCTGTATCGGAGTTAGTTGATGAATCTCAAAAGAGTCCTACCTCTAGGAAACGTAGTGGTGAAGATTGTATTGATGATAATATCATTAAAAAAAACCTATTGTCAAATGAAGAAAAAATATTCGTCTTGGGATCAGTGGAATCTCATAGAAGTCCATCATCTGAAATTAAATCAAATAACCTAGTAAATACTCTATTATCAACCGAAAAAGAAAATCATTCAATATCGACCGGAAATGAAATCAAAGAAAATTTAAATATTGTAAAAGAATCTCTATTGCCAACGGAAGACAAACATTCCACTGTTGAATTGGAAGATTCCCTGACTAGTCCAGTAACAAATAAATGCTGCGCTGATGATGAAAATGATGAGAATGATCAGAAAAAATTAAGGCTTCTTCATCCAACTGTTGCCTAATTACCCATGTGTTCATATGAAATAAATCTTTAAATTAAAATATATATATATATATAAAAAAAAAATATATTTAATATACATATAAAAAAAAAATTTAAAAAAAAAAAAAAAAAAAAAAAAAAAAAAAAAAAAAAAAAATGCCCATCATATTATACATTTTTTTTTTTTTTTGTAAAATAGTAAATTATTTCTTATTCTGTTATATTGTAATTTCTTTGCAATACAACAACAGACTTAGATTCATATTTAAACAGCATCATGGGTATGTTTTGGTGCGGATTTAATGGATTCAACCAATTGAACATTGAATCAAACGTCGATTTAGATTTTCATGCTTATGGCAATGAAGGAAATTATGGTGAAATTCGACAAGTGGCATTTTCTTGGAGTACTGCTTCTATTTTGACAAGTATTCAATTTAATTAATTAATTAATTATTTATTTTTTATTAATGAATATTGTATATATTTAATTAAAGATTCTGGTAAAATTGTCATGAGTGGCCTCATCAACAAAAAAACGATTAATTTTGAAATATTGGATGATTTAGAATATGGTCCTTTTAAATCTGTATGTTGTTATTAAAATCTAATAAGATTTGAGTATTGTGTTTAAATTGTACCATAATCATTATGTTTAGATTTCTTCATCTGAATCAAATATATTAGCTGTTGATTCAGTTGGCAATTGTTGGTCGTATTCAAAATGTAATGTCAAATGGAATAATATAACTTCAATATTACAAAGAGAGGAGCAAGACTCTGAAGACTCTGTATCCAAAAATCAAAGTCAACCATCTATTAATCATGTATGCTGTAGTGATACAACTCATCTAGCAGTTACATATAATGGTATTTATTAATTTCAAAATTGTTTTTTATAAACTTGATAATAAGTGGTTTTTGGTATAGACATTTATTCAATTCCAACTAAAATATTCAATTCAAAATTCAAAATCACTCAAGTATCCTGTGGCTTTGAACATATAGTTATTTTATTGGAAACTGGTTGCTTATATACACAAGGATCCAGTAGGTAAGCTATTTTTAACTCCTAATGTTATATTTTGTGTTTTATTATATCAAATTTTACAAACAATTAAACCAATATTATAAAATAAGGTATATTTAAAATTTTAAAATTTACAATAATACTTACAGCCGAGGTCAATTAGGTCATGGTGAATTAAATGAAGAAGATCATCCACGACTTCTAAAATCTCTAGATGGTATTCGAGTTATTAATATTTCTGCTGGTGGCTGGCATACTGCTGCGATTACAGAGTATAATGATCTCTATATGTGGGGCTGGAATCATTCTGGGCAATTAGGAATTTCAAATTTTTCAGGTAAATCAAATTGTAATAATAAAATCTTAAAATTTAATAAATGAACTTAGAATTTCACAATGTATATTATATGTTTAATTCTTGTAGAAGTGATTCAAAATATGTATTTGATTATTTTTAGAAAATAATATAAATGATATGTATTGTATGCGATTATTTACATATTAATTAAACTATTTTTAGCGTTTTACTACCTGATACTGTTACTAATTATCAGCTAATTTAAGGTTGATTGTTTTTTATGACTTATTTGGTTTACGGCACTAAAAAAGTATTCAAATTAGTTAAAACAGGTGAAATATCATGTTAGATATTTTTAATGGTTTTTTAATAATTATAAGTAATTTATAACATTTTTACAGAAAGTGATGGTACAATAATGGCTTCAGAACCTGTACTGATTGATTGGGAAGAAGAGACAGATATTGAACAAGTGAGTTTGGGGGCAAGACATTCAATGGTTCTAACTAAAAACAATATACTTTGGGGTTGTGGGTGGAATGCTCACAAACAACTTGGTATTGAGACATCCCAATTAACTTGTGATAGGATGATTAATTTGAGTAATTTATCACCATTGTTGAAATGCAATTTAAGGAAAATCGTCAAAGTAGTATGTGGTGCATGGAATAGTGCCTTGCTGTTAAGTAAATGATTTTTTACCCTATTTTAATGAAATTATTCTAAAAAAAATTTAATGTGTGAATTAGTAGCTGGGTTTTGTGAAAAGCAATTTTTAGGATTACAAAATTTGTTGTATAAGAGATAATGTCTATATTCTCATTACTATAATTCAAACATAAATTCTTTTTACAATAGATTTTGAAAATGTTTTCAAATTATTATGAGACATACATTTTATACTAAGCATCAAATTTAAATTATTTGAAATTTTCCAAGTATTTAAATTATTTGCTTTCTTATATTTTTACTTATATCAACTTTAAATGTCTCTGTGATTTAATTTGATTAAAAATGTATTAATTTGGGTAAATTTCAACTTGTGAGGAAATTAATATTTGTAATATTTTAAATTATCTAGAATTGAAAAACAACAATAGCTTTAATTAAATATGTGTACTTCTTCATTGAACAAAATATGGTATGGATGAAAATAGTTAAAAAGTGTTAAACAATTGGAAAGTTTAAATTAACATATATATATATGTATACATGTATTGTTATTTATTATTTTTGATTTGAAATAAACAATTTGAATATAATTTGTGTAATTATTTTATGCATTAACCCTTACTGTTGTCTATCCATATTAGTATATTAATAAAAATATTGCTTTTCAATTTATATATAGTGTGTTATATGTTATTTACTTTGAAATTTACATTTTACAGTTTACACTTATGTACACAATGTACTAAAGGAAATTGTTCTTACACAAAAATACAATAATTTTACATACTTCATTGATTATAAATATTAATATTTATTATCAATGATACATAATTATGTAATATATTTAATTGATGCTACAATATGTAGTTAAAAGTGCTTAGCTAATTTTGGTTGTAATGTTTGTTCAAAATAAACAATAATTAGAGTATGTACTCTTATCAAAAGTGAAATTTAATTAGGTTACAATTTTAGTTTTAAGGTTTAAAATTACATAGGTACCATGATGTTCATTGTTTAAAAAATTAAAAATCGAGGAGATAGTTAATATGGGAACTATATGTTATTAGCATAGACAAATGATATTAGTATTACAAGACATAATTACTTAGTCAGGTTTGATCGTTGATTGTGTATTTTTATCAGAAGATATAAAATAAAATAAAATTTAAAAATAAGTACCTAATGAGTAATGATAATTAAATAATTTAAATTCCACCTGGTAATAACAGTAAGCGGTCTTGAAGTTATGAGCAGTAGCAGATGAAGCTACTAATATGAGTCATGTTCTTAATATCAAGTTCTAAGAAAAGGCTTTGGAAAAAAAAGTCTGTACTATTCGGTAATTATTAATTAGGTACTTGGGAGACATGCTATATAAATGACTGATATGGAATAACCTTAATTGAAGTAAAATATTAATTCTTAATGTTTATATATTATAAGTAATATATTATGTTACCTATTATAATGACTAGGCTTGGTCTTCTTTTTACTTAATAACTATATTTACCAGTCTTAAAGTCAAATTATTACCTAATTTATAAAACTATTTTTAAGCCTATTTTAATGTATGAACTACAGCTTCAGGGCACATCAAAAATATCTAATTCAAAAATCATTCAAGAGCACTTCATTACTTCAAGGTTTAATTACACCAATGCTTCACCATTTATATCTAATTTTAACTATATAAAATTTTAATATTAAAACTATTTCTTCAGAAACACATTTTATGTGATTTAATAAATGGCTTCAAAGTTTTTCCAATTTCATAAAGGATCTTTCCATTCTAATAATCAGGATATTTTTCGGTACTCTAGATGTTAAAAAGTTAATGGTGTTGTGAGTTTATGACCTGTTACAAATATAATATTTAAGGCTGTAACCCATAAGTATAAAAAAATATTCCATAAGCAAATATATAAAAAACATTAGCCCAAATAAATTTTGCAAAAATAAAGTATTTTTTATAAAAATCATATAATTATTGATATTTAGTTTTTTGTGGTTATAAAATTTGTCTATTATACAAAATAGATAATTTGCACTTTTGGATTTTACTGATACTAAATCTCATAACAAAATATTTCTGAAAAAAAAAAATAAAATATAATTAATCAAGTCAAGTATTGCTGGAATGGGCATCCTTTTATGTTACACTTCTTCATACTGTATAAGCTTGTTTAATGTTTTGTTTTTTAGTATAGTATTGTTTCTACTTTTTACCACTTAAAAATAAAGAAATTATTTTGAAATTATATTAATGTCTTTGATTGATGAAAGCACAGAATATAAAAATGATGAAAGTGACAAGCTATTTTTATTTTTTAATTATTAATGTTTTTTTTCAAATGTCAACATTTAAATTTGAATGACCATTGGCCACTATAATACTATATAGACTTACTATGTAGAGTGTTTGCTACCGGGTATATTGTAAAAACTTTTTTGAGTATTTCTTCCAGATAATATTGTGTTAAGAGCATGAATAAAGATATATCTATATATCTTTGTGGTTAATAGGACAAAATAAAATCAATTTGATTATTTTAAAACGTACAGTTTTTATTTTATCTTCAGCTTATAAATTATAATATTAAATTATTTTGTAATTTATGAATCATAAGTATTATTATTTAAATTGTATTAAAACATTTATATTACTAAAAAAAAAATTATTCCATGAAAATTATATAACCTTACTTTTTTGTGGGATCTGATAACGTTCTCGTACTTACGTATGGATATGGTAATGGTTATACTTTAACCTATTCATTAAATTAATAATTTTCAATTCACACTTGTCATTTTTCATTCACACTTCTGTGTCAATCTCAATTTTTTTTGCTTTTGGCTGTTTGAATTACCAGAAACTTTACTCAATCGAAATGGTAAGATGTTTTTATTGCTATTGAATCATTTAATGTATAAAAATATTTCAACCGGCGTTTTTCTGAAAATACTCGACAAACATGTAGGTAGACAATGGCGCCGATATATTTTGAAACATCTATGACAATTTTATTTTGTGTCAATTATATCCACCAACCTACTAATAAAAATATTCCTCTTCAAAATAATATATAAAATAGCGATTCTTTAACCGTGCATAATAAGCACATCCGAGAGAGTAGTGGCCCCATTACATATATATATTTTATATAATTTAAAGGTTTAATATTTTAAATATTTAATGATACCTAAATATATTATCTTCTTAATCAAGTTTCATGTGTTGCACAAATGTAAATGACTTCATTAACCATGGACCATAAATACCAAATAGTGGTGGCGCCAAATTGTATGATATAATTTAATCACTGTATGTTTTGTAATAACTGAGGTCCCTATTTTCTTCACATTATACTCACTCACCTACATATTTGTCTATGAAAAATTTCATAAGCTAAACAGACTTTCAGTGCCATTACATATAGAGATGTGTGTGTGGTTTTGGCACATTACGGTATTACAATTCTATACATTAATGTATTTATATACATGTATATTAAATAAGTAATATATCTTATTATAATTGTATTTTTGCATTTGTCATATGTAATGTTTTGACTTTGTTTGGACAGGCATCAGTTGCGACCAAATTCCGCCCACTTTTTGATCGAGTTTTGGTCAAACGTTTGGATGCTGTGAAACAAAGTAAAGGAGGTATAATGTTGCCAGAAAGTGCTTCGAAAAAAGTTCTCGAGGCAACTGTTGTAGCTGTAGGACCCGGCGCAAGAAATCAGGTACAAAATAGGTTTATTAATTATTACATAGATAGATAAATTCATAATTATTTGTATTAATTTAAGGATGGAAAATCAATACCAGTTGATGTTAAAGTTGGCGACCGAGTATTATTACCTGAATATGGTGGTACTAAAATTCAATTGGATGATGATGATTCATACACAATTTTCAAAGAATCAGAATTATTAGCAAAAGTAGAGTAATTATAAATAATATGTTTCACAATTATAATTCGACTGATTAATTTAGTGGGAAATAGTTACGTTCACATTTGTTTAAAATTTAAAAGAATTCCACCGTTTTACTTCTGATTGTGCTTGAAATAGCTGTACTCGTTTTGAATATAATTTATGTCTTAATGTTTTTTATTATTTATATTTAAAATAAACTAGTTTTGAAAATTGAAGTATCATTTTATTTTTACTATGAAATTCCTTATAAAAGTTGTGTTGGTCAATAGATAAAATTAATAAAAATAATAAAAATTAATAAAATTAATTAATAGAACGTATTTATCAAATATGTTCTGAATAAATTTATATATTTTGTGATAACTGATGCTAAATAATGTTGTTTTATTTAAACTAAATTATTGAGTATTTTTAAAGTTAACATGTATCTATATGAATTTTTATAAAAAGTACTAATACCTTTCTGGTATATTTTGTATACATGAAGAAATTCAATTAATATTGTAAATATATTTGATCAAATAATTATAGTTTTTAGAAAACATATTTCACATTTTTGGCCAATTATAAATTTATAATGTGGTGATTATAATGAAGAATAACTTCATCTCTTCTGCCTGTCGCCATTTTATTATATAATAGCTAAAGTATTTGATATTAGTGTTAAATATCTGATGGTGAACTAAATTTTTTTCATTGAGGTAAAGTTGATCATTTTGATAATTTAAAATAGAGACAGTTTTTATTTTGCCAAAATAATAATATTGAAGAACAATTGGTTGAAATAATATTTTGACCACAAAATATATAATGTTATACTGTTATTTATGAAAGATATTTATTATGAGAAGCAATATTTTCTTTCTGTTGAAACTTTCCATTTAAAAGTATTTATGTCAACACATCTTAATTTAATTTATAATAATAAATTGATTTTGTTATGACAATGAAATTACATTATTACGATACCGCGGCTGTGTGAGTTGTATTCAATAATTAATATTAATTGGTATCGTACCATGCCATCACGATCTCAGACCATGTAACATAAATCCATTTTAAACATATATAATAGTATAAGCGTGTTAAGATAAAATAAGTGGTATAACTAGGATCACTATATTATCTGTTATGTAATCAGGTAGTTAAATTTTACAGCCTAAACAAGCGCAAATATAAAAATTTGAATAAGTTAATATTTATAGCATTTAATTTTCAGTATATTTATCGGTTATCTATCATATGATTTATGTTATATATTTATATCTTTGTATGATATATTGATTTGTAGATATTTTTTTATTTGTTTAATTCATTTATTAGATTTCAACCCTAATTACAGCTTTGTCGAGTACTCATTAAATTCGTAATAAAAAGTGTAAAAATTGATAATACGAAAAAGTGTTTAAGTGATTATAAGTATTTCTGGTACCAGTTTTAGAATTATTAAATAAATAGTACCTAACATCAACAAGTTCTATATAGCAATCAAAAAAAAAAATTAGTTTTTCCTTTTCTAAACCATTCTTGTTTATACGAATCAGTAAATATCTACATTTTAATAACATTAAAAATAACAATACGTTTTAAACATATAATGACCTTTGAATCGTAATTCAAAGATTTTTATATCTTAAACTTTTTGGATAAATATCGGTGCTCAAATAGCCTTTGGTAATTTTAGGATAAAAAATGGTACCCACATTTAAACAATATGATATGCATTTTATTATAATTCCATACTACTAAAGTACCGATGATCAGGTACCTTATGCTTGAATACTTTTACTTAAGTATTTTACAAGACTACTAACCAAACACCATTATATAATAAATATTTTTTCTATATGTATCCAATGTTCATTAAATTAAAAATCGTAACGTTCATAAGACATTTAATACTCTAGGTTTTAGATATAGGATATAGATACCAGATATTTATTTGTTCCTGTCTCTTATCAAGAACAATTTATATTGAGGTATTTATTGATTTATTTTTGATAAATTTATATTTATGGCATGGACAATAGTTATGAAAGAGAGCCTAAATAAAATAAATTTTTAGACTCTAGCATTTAGGTGATGGGTGTGAACTATGATGACTAAAATATAGCTATTAGCTACTACTATAGCATATAAAGAAACCATGATCTTAATTATAATTATATTTATAATTTATCTTAAATATTGTAAAAGAAACTCAAGATTTGTAAATAATTACAATGTTTTGTGAATGTAAAAAATACACTTAGAGAAACCACAAAAAAAATTATGGTTATATTCTAGAATCTTCATTCTATAGGTATCTATTAGTATTACCTATGGTATAGATTGACGTTTATCTATAATTGTGTAAGAAACTATCATTTTATATAGCTTATAGGTGTTTGTAATAATCATTTACTACACACAAAAGACGAGCATGTGACTGCAAGAAACAATATAATTGCCTAAACACAACTCCTAAAATGACACGTTTGAGGCCTTAA